TGCGGTGGCCGGGAGCGGCCACTGCATTCCAGTCTGGGTGACAGAGTGAGACTCCAACTCAAAAAAAAAAAAAATCAAAAATTTAGCCAGGCATGGTGGCCCTCACCGAGAATCCCAGCTACTTGGGAGGCTGAGGCAGAAGGATCGTGTAAGACCAGGAGGTCAAGGCTGCAGAGAGCCATGATTGTGCCACTACATTCCAGCCTGGGAGACAGAGTGAGACTTCACTCAAAAAAAAAAAAAAAATCTGTTTGAGACTCTTCTTGTCACTACCTTGTGAGGATATGCCCCAACTTCACCATCTTCTCAGCTGCCCATAAGGTTCTGCACTATTCCCTCTGTCATTGTCCTTAGCTGTCTCCTCTTCCACTTAGGCCCCACCCAGGTGGGGTCAGGCAGCTCCCCATCATAGCATTGACCACCCTGGGCAGTTGTAGCTGCCTCACCCGTTTGCCTCCTACACTGAGTGGTCAGTTCTCTGAGAATGGAACAGGCCTTGTTAGTCTTGATCTTCCACATGGGAGGCCCTCGGTGGATATCTGTGCCTGCCAGGCACTGTGCTGGGCATTAGTTCTTCCAGGACCTTCATGTACAACCCATACCATGGGTGGGAAGGAGGTAAGGACAGGTGCCCCTTGCAGACCTGCTTGGCAGGCTGGGGTGATGGTTAAGAGCTTGGGCCCCAGGCCAGGTGCAGTAGCTCAAGCCTATAATCCCAGCACTTTGGGAGGCCAAGGCGAGAGGATTGCCTGAGCTCAGGGGTTCGAGACCAGCCTGGGTAACTTGCTAAGACCTGTCTCTACAATAAAGATAATAATAAGCCAGGTATGGTAGTGCGTATCTGAAGTTCCAGCTACTTGGAAGGCTGAGGCGGAAAGATCTCCTGAACCCAGCAGGTTCAGGCTGCAATGGCCATGAGAGAACCACTGCAATCTAATCTGGGTGATAGAGTGAGGCTCCAACTCAAAAAAAAAAAAAGATCTTGGGCCCTGGAGGCAAACAGACCTTGAGTTCAAATCCTGGTCTGTCTTCACACTGTGGCTGTAGTAAGAGATTTACCCTTCCTGGGGTTCAGTTTTTCACCAGCAAAAACATTATCGTACCATGTACCATATCTGCCTTGGTTAGCCTAAAAGAGATGGGTGCAGCGGCTCACACCTGTGGTCTCAGGAGGCCGAGGTAGGAGGATTGCTTGAGGCCAGGAGCTCAAGATCAGCCTGAGGAAGATAGCAAGACCCTGTCTCCAAAAAAAAAAAAAATCTAAGGCCAGGCACAATGTCTCACTTCTATATTCCCAGCACTTTGGGAGGCCGAGGTGAGAGAATCTCTTGAGCCCAGGAGTTTGAGACCTGCTTGGGCAAAATAGTAAAACCCTGTCTCAGCAAAAAAAACGCAAAAATTAGCCCAGCGTGGTGGCACATGCCTGTAGTCCCAGCTACTTGGGAGACTGAAGTGGAAGGATTGCTTTAGCCCAGAAGGTTGAGGCTGTAGTGAGCTGTGATCATGCCACTACACTCCAGCCTGGGTGACAGAGTGAGATCCTGTCTCAAAAAAAAAAAAAAGCCAGTCTCGGTGGCTCAGCCTGTAATCCCAGCACTTTGGGAGGCCGAGGTGAGTGGATTGCCTGAGCCCGCGGGTTCGAGACCCGGCTGGGCAACTTGGCAAGACCTCATCTCTACAATAAATCAAAAAATCAGCTGGGCGTAGTAGTGCACGCCTGTAATTTCGGCTACTCGGAAGGCTGAGGCACAAGGATCACTGGAACCCAGCAGGTCGAGGCTGTGGTGGCCAGGAGCAGCCACTGCACTCCAGTCTGGGCAACAGAGTGAGACTCCAACTCAAAAATTAAAAAAAAAAAGTCTCTGAGGCTGTGAGTGCCCAGCACATAGGTGCTTAATAAACAGTGGCAGAGTCAACAAGTCAAATGTTTGCTGAGCACCTAGTATGTGCCAAGCATTGGGGATCTAGGTGCTGGGTGACGCTTTCATTCACTCAGTCTTTCAGCAAACACTGAGTACCTCCCATGTGCTAGCTGCCAGGGACATGGCTGTGAGCCACACAGAGGTGGTCTAGTCTAGGGAAGTGGGTGTTATTCAAACAACTCCAAATGCGAAGGCGACATGGTCTTGGGGACCAAAATTCCAAGGTGCCATGGAGCACAGAGCTGGGATCTGAAGCAGGAGCAGTCAGGAAAGCTCAGCACTAAAGGGTGGGTTGGGCTTCACCAGGTGAAATGGTGGGGCCAGTGATCCACGCTCTGGGAACAGCAGCTGCAAAGGCCTCAGGCACAGCATGTTTGGCATGGCTCAGGGAACAGGGATGAGAGGTGTCGGGGGGGGGGTAGTGAGCCCATGCAGGCGCCCCTGGTCCCTGCATGAGAAGCCAGCAGACAGGTATGTGGTGTGATCAGGTCACTGTTTGAACAGAGCTTTCTGTGGATTCTGGGTATATCACAAGTGGCACGCAGCACATGGCAGCAGGGCTAAGGAGTATTGCTGGCCTGGAAAGATGGTGGGTGTGGTGCAGTGGGCTCTGGAGCCTGACTGCCTAGGTCCAAGCCTAGGCTCCTTCATTTGGGCAGGTGGATGCTGCTCTGGGCCTGTTTCCTCTCTGGCAAAATGGTGGTTGTGAGGATTAAGTTATGTCCATTTGACAGGTGAGGAAACTGAGGCTCCAAAGCCACCTAGGGTTTGGGGCTTAGACCCAGGCTTCAGTGATCACAGTGATTTAATCAATCACCACCCTTGGTATCACCCAAGTCACCCACATAGCTCTTAGAACAGAGCCTGCTCACAGTAGGTGAGCACCATGGAGGGGTTGCATGTGGACATGGGTGGGAGGGAGAGTGGGCTTCCTGGAGCCCAGTCACCGGCTGGCTTGCTCGCCTGTGTGAGTTGCTCAAGGCTGGTGACCGGATGGGCAGGTGCCTGAGATGCCCAGGATTCAGAGGTCACACCTGGTTTAGAGGGCAGTGGGGGTGCACAGCTGTGGCCCAGGGGCCCTGCTGACCCACACTGCCCTCCTGCCACTGCAGCCTTCGTGACTCTGCTGAATGGGGAGCAAGCCGAGGCCGCCATCAGCACTTTCCACCAGAGCTGCCTGCGGGAGCGCGAGCTGTCGGTGCAGCTGCAGCCTACGGACGCCCTGCTGTGTGTGGCCAACCTGCCCCCCAGCCTCACACAGCAGCAGTTCGAGGAGCTGGTGCGGCCCTTCGGCAGCTTGGAGCGCTGCTTCCTGGTCTACAGCGAGCGCACTGGCCACTCCAAGGGCTATGGCTTTGCTGAGTACATGAAGAAGGACTCGGCCGCCCGTGCCAAGTCAGACCTCCTGGGCAAGCCACTGGGCCCGCGCACCCTCTACGTGCACTGGACGGATGCCGGGCAGCTGACGCCCACCCTGCTTCACTCCCGCTGCCTCTGTGTTGACCGCCTGCCGCCTGGCTTCAGCGACGTGGACGCTCTACGTCGGGCACTGTCAGCTGTCCACACACCCACCTTCTGCCAGGTGAGCCCCGTGCCTGGTGTGGAGGGCCCTGGAGAGCGGACACGGGTCCCCAAGCACCTGAGGTGGGTCCTCTGGGGTCATCTGCCTTTTCTCGTCTCCTAGCTCCCTTTTCAGTAAAGCCGCAGTGACGCACCTTTTAATGGGGCTCTTGCTAGAGGCTATGGGGTTCGCTGGGCGCAGCCTAGGTTTGAGCGGAGTACTGACTTGAACCCTAGTGCAGGCACAGGTGAGGCCACCCTTGCTGTGGCTGGTGTCCACACTCGCCGGTACCCACATCAGATGTTGAGCGCCTGCGGGGTCCCAGCCCCAGCCCAGGCACTGAGGAGCCCACCTAAGGAGTCTGCCTAAGTCTTGAGGTCAGAGTTAGTCTTGGCCGATGATCCCGCTGCACTTGGGTGGTTCTGAGTACGTGACCTGTGGCAACCTGGAGAGGCAGGTATCCTCCCCATTTTCAGGTGAGGATACCAAGGCACAGAGGGGCCTAGTGACATGCCTGGGGTTACACAGACAGGACCTGGCAGAGCTGGGATCAGTAGCTGCTGCCTGACTCCGGGGCCCTGGGTCAGCCTAGAGGAGGCCGCCATACGGCTCAGATGAGACCGTTCTGGACTCAGACCCCAGCCCTGTGGCCTTGAGTGGATCCTAGATCCCTCATGTAGTGGAGTGTTGGTGCCCCATTTAAGCTGGATATCTGTTGGGTGGCCGAGGTGGGAGGATGGCTTGACAATAAGAATTTGAGACTAACCTGGGCAACATAGTGAGACCCATCTCTATATATTCTTTTAAAAGAGTGTCTATAGGAAACCCTCCCTTGCTCACGTACCATTCGTTTCTTCTGCTGCACACCTACTACATACCAGGCTTTGTGCAGGGCTTAGGACACAAGGCATTCTCTCGCATGGAAGTTGAGGATGACAGGGTTGTACTCAGCAACAGGGTCTCTGCACCTCAGTTTCCTCATCCCAAGACAGGGTCAGCAGTGTTTTGTGATGGGGTTATTGTGAACGGCTGCCCATCTTTTCCTCCTCTTGCACATTCACCAGACCTTTGTTGGGCCCCTCTGAGTACCAGGCATGGAGGCCACCGCTCTGAGGGCTCAACATCACGTAGGTGTCCTGGTTGAATGTAGGACAGGTGTGGGAGTCAAGCTGGTTGAGACTCATGCCTCAGTCCCCTTAGTTAGAAACCACATGACCTCGGTTGCCCTTGACCACTCCGAGTCCCTCTCTGTTCATCAGTAAGATGGGCGTGGCTATGAGAAGGTGCTTGGCTGCACAGGGCCTGCCAGAGGGGAAGGTGAAGTGCTCACTAAGGATGGGCCACTGCCAGCGTGTCCTGGCTGGGCCCTCTGTAGGGGTGGGACCCAGGCCCAGTCACTTGGTTGCCCACAGCATCGCCGCCTGGCCTGGCTGTCCCTGGAGCAGGAGCCCTTCCTCCCCATCCCTGGGAGCATGTTATTTAATCCCCACAAGGACCCTCTGCGGTGGGTCCAGTTGGCCCATTTTACAGATGAGGAAAGAGAGGGCCAGGGGTGTGCATGTGTGGTGACCGGCTTGGCTGGCATTCAAGGTGGGGCAGCTGGTCTGGGGCCAGCCTTCTAATAGGCTGGCCCCGGCCCCAAGAGTGGCAGATGCCAAGCGTGAGGGTCTCTGTCTTCATGGGGTGAGCGCTTATTTTCTACATAAAGAGGAGAAACCTCCAGGGAAGACCGCCAGGGAAACCTCCAGAACCCGTGCTCGTGCACAATACCACTTATTCACAGGCAAGTGTACATATCTCACTTGCTTTATTTTATTTCAAAGTTGCTTGAGAATATTTGCCATAGAAACTAATAAAGCAGGTGTTCTAAGGCTTTGAGTGTTAAGAAACCTTTTCTGTTTATTATTGTGAGTGGCCAGTGTAGTCCCATTTCAAAACTCAGCATATCCAGAAAGGTCAGGGGTGAAGCCTCCCGCTGACTCCCAGCGCTGTCTCCTTCCAGTGAGATTGTGTTATCATTTCTTTTTTTTTGAGTTGGAATCTCACTTTGTAGTCCAGGCTGGAGTGCAGTTGCACAGTCAGGGCTACCTTCTGGGCTCAAGTGATCCTTCCACATCAGCCTTCCAAGTAGCTAGAACCACAGGTATGCACCACCACACCCAGCTAATTTTTTAATTTATTGTAGAGACGAGGTGTTGCTCAAACAGTCCTCTCACCTCTGCCTCTAAAAATGCTAGGATCACAGGTGTGAACAACCTCACCTTCTCTCTCTCTCTTTTTTTTTTGAGTTGTGGTCTCACTCTGTCACCCAGGCTGGATTGTGGTGGCACAATCATGGCTCACTATAGCCTCGACCTCCTGGACTCAGGTGTTTCTTCTTCTGCCTCAGCACCCCCAGTAGCTGGGACTACAGGTGCATGCCACCACACCTGGCTAATTTTTTAATTTTTTTTTTTTATAGAGACAAAGTCTTAATTTGTTGCCCTAGCTGGTCTTGAACTCCTGAGCTCAAGCAGTCCTCCCACTTTGGCTTCCCAAAGTTCTAGGGTTATAGGCATGAGCCACCGTGCTGGGCCTGTTTCTTTTCTTTTCTTTTCTTTTTTTTTTTTTTTGAGTTGGAGTCTCACTCTGTTTGGTAGTGTGCGCCTGCAGTGGCCGCTCCTGGCAAGGCCGACCTCGAACGGTCACGCACCCGCGATCCTTGAGGCTGCACCGTCCAAGAACACCGAATGACCTGCATGCTCAATGACACACGGATAATTTTTTTTTTTTTTTTTTTTTTTTCTTGGTTCCCTTTTTGTTTTAGGCCCAAGATAGTTAGCTATTCTAGCTATTCTAGCTATTCTTTCAGGGTTCATCCTTTGTTTTCCTGCACTAATTAAATGTCCAAGATATTTAACTTCCTGTTCCACAAATTGTAACTTACTTTTGGAAACTCTTAATCCCTGTTGTCCCAAGAAGTTGAGTAGACTTATAGTTGCTTCAGAAACTCGGGCCTTGTCTTTTCCTGAGATTAGGAAATCATCTACATATTGTAAAAGATTAGTGTCAGGCAAAAGTAGAAACACCTCTAATACAGTTTCCAAAATTTGGCCAAATAAATTAGGAGATTCAGTGAAAACTTGGGGTACACAGTCCAGCGATATTGTTGTTTTGTTTCCATTTACGGGATTCTCCCATTCAAAGGCAAAGAGGACTCTACTTTTGGGGCCAGTGGGCAGGCCCAAAAGGC